ACACACACACACACACACACATATACATACATACACATTGAACTGCTTACCACAGATCAGTAGATCAGTAGTTAACTCAGTGGCAAATCCTTGAAAACTGTATCGGGTCAATATAAGTCGGAACCAGCTTAATGGCACTTAACATATGTATAGATATATATAATGTTGTTAAGTGAATTTTTTGAAGCTCCAAACAACATATATCGAGCAGACTTAAGTACACATATCGAGGCTAACTTTCAGCCCAACGATTACTGTTGTTAAGTGCTACTAAGTCGGTTCCGACCCATAGCAATCCTGTATAGGGTTTCCAAGAAATGGCAGATGGGTTTGAACAACTGACTTCGCAGTTAGCAGTTCAGTGCTTATCTTACAGCACTACATCAGGATTCTATATACATATTTGTGAGGTTTTTTTAAGTCTAGTTTTCCTCAGTGAGATTATAATTTTCTGGAGTGGAGGGGACAATCTCTTTTGAAATATCTCTTATAGATTGTGGTATACCTAGAGCAGTGTGGTACATTACAATCAGGCAGTTTACTCATCGAAATAATTACTATCAGGCAGGTACTAAGCCAGAATGCATATAATAGTGTGATAATTAGTGGAATGGATTAATGTCTCTCCTAGTCATTGTTGTTGTTAAGTGCCGTTGAATCGCTTCTGATTTACAGCAACCCTGTACAGGGTCTCCTAGGAGCGGCTGGTGGGTTTGAACAGTGCCACATCAGGACTCCATAGTCATAGGCTTTAGAAACTCCCACCAAATGACATTTCCTTATGGGTTTGGGTGAGAAAAAGTGGGGAAGATGGTGGCTTATTGATTCAGTTGTGAGAGACGGCTAAAAGGGTTAATTCCAAGTAAAAACGTGAAACTCTGACATGGATATTAAATGAGCATGTCATAAGCAGGAGGGGAGCTCTCACATCATCAAAGAAGAGCCATTATTACTGGAGTACATCCTTTGGACCCTGAGATCCCTGTATATGGAATCTTCTCGATCCAGGGGCAGACAGCTAGGACTCCAGAGGAGGAGTAGCAGAGGAGTAGCAAAGGAGGAGGAGCAACAGACCCAAAAGCCTGAGCGCCACATAGAGCAGTGGGTTTCCCAGCTCAGGGAACACATAAAGCTTTGTGACTTTGGGCAGGTGGCTCACTTGTGGGATGAGGTATCTACAATGTGCTTAATTAGAAGGCTAGGCTTGCTGACCCAGGGGGCTAAGGAGAACCTTAGGGCTGAGGCTTATAGTAGGGTTGAGTATACTTTGGGTGTTTAATCAGCAGCTCTAAAACAGCTCTATAATATTGTCCAAGCAGGGCAAAGGCCAGGTCAAGGGGCCAAGGGTCAGAAAGAAGCCTGCCTGCAGGTTTGACTAAGGAGAGTTTGTCTTGACTTGAAGAACTGTGCCCTGAGCATTTTGGACCCTGAATTCTAACCTGTTAACTTCCCTAATAAACTCAATAATCATGAGTATTGTCTCTGCAGTGTAGCCACCACAAGCGATTTTTGAACTCAGGTGAGTAAAGAGTGCTGTGGGAAGAATGGTTGGCAACATTTTTACAATCACTTAAATTACCTTAACCTCTGTTAAGGTAAATTATGTGGCATTGTCAAGAAGCTTCTAGAATAGGGTGATATTTGCTCTAAAGAGAGCTAAGAGTTACTGAACTCTTATTACACACCAGGCACTGTTCTAAGTGCTGTACGTATATTATTTCATTTCATTATCATGCTGCTTAAAGACATTAACCCTATTTTATATGTGAAAATACAGGTTCAGAGATGTTAAATAACTTGCTGCAGGTCACACGGGTTAAGTGGAAGAGCAAGATTCTAAACATAGGCAGTCAAGGATTTCATTTTACTTGGATCCACAATCAATACCCATTGAAGCAGCAGGCAGGAAATCAAACAGCATATTACATTCAGCAAGCAAATCTTTACAGTGTTAAAAAAAATACAAAAAAACACAGATGTCATTTTGAGGACTAAGGTGTGCCTGACCCAAACCATTCTATTTTCAATTGCCTCACATGCATGCAAAAGCCGGACAATGAAACAGAAAGACCGAAGAAGAATTGATACCACTGAATTATATAGTTTGGGTGAAGAACAGTAAATGTACCATGGACTTCCAGAAGAATGAACAAATCTTAGAAGTACAGCCAGAATGCTCTTCAGAAGCAAGGATGATGAGATTTTGTCTCATGTATTTTGGACACGTTATCAAAAGGGATTAGTCCCCAAAGAACAACATCATACTTGGTAAAAACAGAGGGTCAGGGAAAAGGAGAAAGAACCTCAATGAGATGGAGTGACATAGTGGCTTCAACACTGGGCTCAAACACAGCAACAATTGTGAGGATGGCACAGGACTAAACAGTGTTTCATACTGCTGTACATTAAAGTCACTATGACTTTAACCAACTGGGTAGCACCTAACAAGAACAACAATGACAAATGACAACAACAACCATTTGCTAGAAAGCTTATACAGCTAATAAGTGTGGTAGTGATGGTTGTGTGCTACTGAGCTGGTCCTGACTCATAGCGACCCCATATAGGGTTTCCAAGGCTATAAATCTTTATGGGAGCAGAAAGCTTCATCTAGCTTCAGCGGAGTGCTAATAAGTGTAGGGATGGGATTTACATGCATGCCATCTGCCTCACTGGAAAAAAGAAAAATTATTGGAGAAATAAGAATCAAGGAAAAACTAAAACTTATTTAATATAATTCACAAAATTCAGTAGGTCATAATTCTACATGTGAGAATTACAGAGTTTTAAGGGGCAGAAAAAAAACCTGTATATGTGCACATGTACACATACATTTTTATGACAGGCAGAGAATCACAGAATTTCCAAGATGGAAGAAACTGTAAATGAAAAAACATGAAACCCACACACAAGTGGCCATGTTCATTTGTGCTGCAGAGCCCTGATTCCCAGGCAAAGGTTCAATCCAGGACTAAGGAATTATGTAGTTCTCTTTAGCATTTCAAGTCTTCTGTTAAGCTCTTCAAAGTCAACCTCTTCAGAATCACAAGGGTCAATGGATGGACTTGCTCGAAGTTCTACATCAGGCAAATCAGGTAGCATAAAGTTATCAAAACCAATCTTGGTTCTTGATTCTGACTTTGGAAATGTGTGAGGGTTGAGTCTTGGACCTATCCATTTCAATAAACATAATTAATATCCACAAGAAAGACTTCCCCTTCATAAAAACCAATCTCAAAGGCAGTAAAGCTAATTGCATTTGCAAGTACAACATAGACAATGACAACAAATCTGGACAGTTCTTCCCTTATGGAAATGGTGGTAGTATTTACATTTTGTTGACAATCTGGACTTTTTACAAAAGTACTCTGGACTTTTTAAAAAGGCACAGTTTTTTTCAGAATGTACCTGGATGATGTGGCATGGTAGTGATTTTAAAACTTTTTGGATTAAAAACCTCTTTGAGATCTCATGAAAAGAATGACTCAACTTCCTATATACACAAAATGTTGCCTACCACTACAGAGGGTGACTGGGTGGGCTCTTGGTTAACAACTCTTACGGTTGTTGTTGTGTGCCATTGAGTTGGTTCTGACTCATAGCTCTGTATAGGGTTTCCAAGAAGCGGCTGGTGAGCTTGAATTGCCGACCTTGAGCTTCAAGCCAACCTTGCCAGTCATACCAGGACTCTTGGTCAAACGTAAATAGTTTTTCACTTTCAAGGAACTCCGTATATTTGTATTATACTAAGTTCCCAGTATTGAGGTCTCTAATGTGAAAGCTTTATTCTGCTACTGACATTCAGCTGATAATGTTTAGAATCTGTTGAAAGCTGGGAAGTACATACTTCATTTCAAAATGTTATTCACTTTGCTGATTGTTAGCTACTAAGTATAAAAGAACATGTTGTACCTCTGGTAAATCATTAATAAACTTCTCTCATTAATGGGGAGCACAGTGGCTCCATATGATAAGCATAGGACTGTGAACCACAAAGTCTGTGGTCCAAGCCCACCCGCTGTTCCGCAGGAGAAAGGTGAGACTTTCTGCTCCTGAGAAGATTCACAGCCTCAGAAACCTATACAGGGTCGCTATGAGTCAGAACCTACTTGAAGGCACTTAACAACAACAATCAATGGAGGGATAGTCCCAACATAGTTCAAGTATCTTCAACAAATTGCAAGCAATTTCAGTTTCCACCAGCATTCCCTCTACTTACTAGAAGTCAGTGTAGGATGAAATTCATTCTTCTTAAAGTCATCATTCTGAAAGAAAAAAAATTACTAGGAAAAATAGTGTTCTAAATGTATATTTTGCTCATAGTAAGTTCTGAATAAATCTTTCTTGAATTTAACTTGTGATTAACTAAAGTAAACTTTATCATAGTAAAGTTTCCTTCTTGTGTGTGGGAGATTTGTTTTGTTTTATATGCTTGCTAAGAAATAAGCTTTTGGAGTGATTATCTGCCTGGCATCTCCTGTCACCTGTGGTTTTATCCAGAAATGCAGGGACTCTTTATCTTTGGGTGTGGAGATGTTCCGTTTAATAAAATTAGAGGACTTTATTTTCAATGCAAAAGTGAATTGTTTTCACTATGTAAAAGTCGAGCAAATCTGAAATATGTGGCATTGTCAAGAAGCTGATGAGCTAGATGATTGCAAATATGACCTTAACCTTTAAAAATATTATAGAGATCATTTTAACATTCAAAAGGCCCAGTAAGAAATACAGTCTAGCATTCCCCGTAATCCATCCCAGGTTCAGGCTGCCTACGTATACATACCTGTCTCTCAGGAGGAAGGACTGAGAAGCAGGAGGCTGGAGATAAATCAGGCAAGAGTCCTGGTACAGCTGTTGGTGATGCCCCAAGTGGACCACTACATCCTGCTACAACACCATCTCCTCTGCCTAGAGCATCTTTTCCAACATCCTTAGTAAATCCAGTACTGATCAGGTCTGTTGGGGCTTCTGCCTAATGTAAGAGGGTAAGCATCACACTGAGTTCTCAGTTTGTTATACATTTGCTTATTGCATGAATGTCTGTTATATGTCAAGCACTCTTGCAAGCACTTGGGGAAGAAATGGTAAGCAAAGAGACATGGTCCCTACCTCATGATGCTTACAAGGGTTAAGTAAGAAAATTATTGCTACTGGGGTTCCAGTGCATTCATATATGGGTTTATCCCAAACAAAATATGTTTAAATATGTCTTTATGACCAGTGGAGGGCTGCAGACAAGCTCAGTAATACACTTGTCTTAGTATCCTTAATGTACCTTCCAAAAGGAGGTGCATTCGAAACAGTGGCTTCTGAGAGAATCTGCTGGGCCAATTCAATTCAAGGCAGAGAGGTCAGCTCAGAAAGTTATGGTGACTATTTGGGGTGATTCAAAAGGGGTAATCTTGATAGAACTTCTCAAAGGATAATCACTGAGATTTATTATGAAGGTGTTTTAAGAACACTGAAAACTGCACTGGAAAGATAAAGACCAGGAAAGTTGTGCTGAGAACATTTTTCCATCACAACAAAGGACCTGTCCATTCTTCGAGGGTAGCAAGGGTTATTCTAGGAAAATTATATTGGGAAACCTTACCCTATTTACTCTACAGTTCTGATCTTGCCCCTTCAGATTTTCTTTGTTCCCCAAATTCAAAGAACATTACTAAAAAGATGTGAGTTCCTCAAGGATGCCAAAACTGCCATTTTGAAGTGGTCAGTATCAAAGAGAGAAGAATTCTTTGGGGGAAGGGTCAGTGTCTTAGGCTGGGTTCTATAGAGAAGAAGAACCAAGGAAGCTTATATATGGATATATATATAAAGAGAGGCTTTATTGTTGTTGTTAAGTGCCATCAAGTCAGTTCTGATCCATATCGAACTGAGTTTCCAAGGAGTGAATGGTGAGCTTGAACCACTGGCCTTGCTGTTCAAACTGAATTTGCAGTCCAGCACATGGAAATGGTTCACACAGTTGTACAGGTGGGCAAGTCAATTCCAAGTCCAATGGCCAGATGTTAAGTTGTAGGCTTCTGACTCATACAGCAGCAGGGTTACTAAACCAAGATCAGCAGGTCAGACAACAGGCAGGCAGGCAGGTAGGATGGATAAAATGGTGGGCTGCTGATGACTCCTGGGAACATCAGGCCACTGGCTCAAGTCTAAAGAACCAGAGACTGGATGGCAAGCCAGATGCAGAATTCAGACCCAACAAAAAACAAGCAAGTTTTGTCTGAATGTTCAATATTGGCAGCAGGCCACACCCCTGAGGAAACATCTTTTTAATTGATTGGCTGTTTATAGCAGATCTCATCATGGGAGATTACTATGTGTTAACTGCCAAGACACTGAGAATTCTGGTACAATAAAGTTGACACAAAACCTTAACTATCATAGAGACGGAAACGCCACCTTCAGAAGTACATAGACATAGATGGAGGCTCTACTGAGAAACAACAGCTTCACATTTTGATAATAAATGTGTAATAAAGGTTCCTATGATTTTGTAGTAATATTTTCAGATGTATCCTTGAATAGTTTAGTGGAAGTCAACGAAAGTTAAAACCAGTCTTCAAGCTTTCAAGCCTACATACATCCTTCTGTCTTTCAATAACTGTGCATTGAGAATCTATCAGGTCAAGCACTGCAGTACATTGATGATTAAGAGCTGCACATAAATATACAGAGATGTCTATAAGAAAATTTATCACATTTTGTTGTTCTTGTTAGTTGCAGTCCACTCTGCCCCATGGCAACTCGATGTACAAGAGAACAAAGCGCTGCCCAGTGCTGTATCATCTTCACAATCGCCAGCATGTCTGAGTCCATCATTGTGGTTTATTGTGCTGATCCATCTCATCAAGGATTTCCCAGAGCCTCATTAGTCCTCTACTTGGCCAAGCATGACATGTCCAAAGCAAGAAAGTTGGGACAATTTTCTGTTGTGATCCAAAAGGTTTTCGGTAGCTAATTTTTGAAAATAGATCACCAGACTTTCCTTCCAAGTCTCTCTCAGTTTGAAAACACCACTGAACCCTGTCCACCCTGGGTGATCCTGTCGGCATTTGAAATACCAGGTCATAGCATCAAGCATCATAGCAACACCCAAGTCACCACAGTGTGGCAAACTGAAAGACAGCTAGTGACACCAAACTTTGGTGTGGTTGTGTGCCATCAAGTTAATTTAGACTCACAGGGTATAGGGTTTCTGAGGCTGTAAATCTTTACAGGAACAGAAAGCCTCATCTTTCTCCCTTGGAGTGACTAGTGGATTTGAACTGGTGACCTTGTGGTTAGCAGCTCAACGTGTAATCCACTACACCACCAGAACTTCTTGTTATCAAATTGTAGTCGTGGGAAACTCTGGATTTATTCATTCATTTCACAAAAAGTATGCACCATCTAATATATGCCAATATATGTCAGACAAAGTGCAAGAGTGATTTAAAAAGAGGAAAATCCTTGCCTTCTTGGAGCTGACATTCTAGTGTGGGTGACATAACAAACAAGTAACTATAATTGTATTGTACAAGTGAACTATGCAATATGTTAGAGATAAGGCCAGGAGAGAAAAAAAAAAAAAGCAAAGAAGAGGGAAGAGGTTGATAGTTTAGAGAAAGCAGCGATGAAGGGCCTTAGAGTGAAGGGAACATTAGGGTACAGACCTGAAGGACGTGAGGGAGGGACCAAGCAGGTATTTAGCAAAACAGAGGGAACCCTAAGAAGAACAAAGGTTCTGAAGTGGGGCATGCTTTGTATGTTTGAAGGAGTGTAAGGAGGCCAGTGTGGCTGGGGCAGAGTAAACAAGGGGGAGGGTGAAGACGTTGAGATCAGAGGAGAGCAGAGTGGGAGTGGGCAACCTCATCAGTAACAGGAAAGATTTTGGTGATGATTCTACGTACAAGAAAAAGCCACTGAAGGGCTTTTAAAGCAGAGGAGTGCCATGATTTGACTTTCGAGGATCTCTAATTGCTATACTGAGCATCAACTGATGGAGAGCAGGGGTAGAAGCAGGAAAATTGCAATGATTCAGGTAAGAGATCATATGGGTTGAACCACTGGACCATGGTACTGGCAGTAAATATAGAGAGAGGTGATAACATTCTAGTTGTATGTCGAAGATCAAGTCAATGGGATATGCTGGCAGATTGGTTAGGGATGGGGGGGGGGGTTGAGAGAAAGGGAAGGGTCAAGGAAAACACCAAGTTTTTTTTGGTATAGTGTAGAATTGCCATTAACTGAGATGGAAAAGATTGTAGAATGAATATGTTTTTGGAAGGGGTGAATATCATGAGCACATTTTTAGATGCTTCTGTAATATCCAAATGAAGGTGTCAAGATGGCAGGTATCTGAGCCTGGAGTTTAGATGGGAGACTTTGGCAGTCCTCACCATAAAGAAGGTACTGAAACCATGGAGTCGGATTAAATCATCTAGGGGGTAGGGGAGAAAGAGGTCTACAGATGAGCCCTTGGAAACATCCTCATTGATATTTCACATGGCTTCTACTTCTCCAAAGTCCCTTTCCATATTGTTAAAATTTTTATAATACGTAAATTTTAGATATATCAAAGAGCTTTTGAAAGATAAAAAAGGAATAAAAGTCAGACAAACTGGAACAGTCAACAAAAGAGAACTCCCTGAGATTATCACTGTGCTGAGCCTATCCCATTACCGAGTCTGTCTCCTGAGATCACTCCTTAGTGAAATAGCAGCGGGGCACACAAAATAAAGACACTCCTGTATGATGTTCTTGATGTCATTCCACAACTCTTGTGGTCTACGGTCTTTAGTGTTTATTGTATCAAATCTGTTCTTCAGTTGATCTCTAAATTCAGGTGGGATATATTCAAGGTAATATTTTGGCTCTTGTGGACTTGTTTTCATTTTCTTCAGTTTCAGTTTGAATTTACATATGAGTAATTGATGGTCTGTTCCACAGTCTGTCCCTGGCCTTGTTTTCACTGATGATATGGAGCTTTTCCATCATCTCTTTCCACAGATGTAGTCAATTTGATTTCTATGTATTCCATCTGGTAAAGTCAAAGTGTATAATCATCTCTTATGCTGTCTAAAGAAGGTATTTGAAATGAACAAATCATTGGTTTTGCAGAATTCTATCATGTGTTCTCCAGCATCATTTCTATCACCAAGGCCATATTTTCCAACCACTGATCCTTCCTCTTTGCTCCCAACCTTTGCATTCCAATCACCAGTAATGATCAATACAGCTTGATTTCATGAAGAAAAATGTGGCATCAGGATTGGAGGAAGACCCATTAATAACCAGTGATATGGAGATGATACAACCTTGCTCACTTAAAGTGAAGAGAACTTAAAACATTTACTGATGAAGATCTAAGAGCACAGCTTTCGGTATGGATTACATCACCACTGGACCAATGAACAACATTCTTATCAATGGAGAAAAGATTGAAGTTATCAAGGAATTCATTCTTCTTGGATCAACTATCAACACTCATAGAAGCAGCAGTCAAGAAATCAAATGACATATTGCATTGGGCAAATCTGCTGCACAACACCTTTTTAAAGTGTTGAAGAGCAAAGATGTCAGCTTGAGGACTAAAGTGCGTCTGACACAAGCCATGGTATTTTCAATAACCTCATATGGATGTGAAAGCTGGACAGTGAATAAGAAAGACTATAGAAGAATTGATGCCTTTGAGTTATGGTGTTGGAGGAGAATATTGAAAGTGCCATGGGCTGCCAAAAGAACCAATAGATCTGTTTTGGAAGAAGTGCAGCCAGAGTGCTTCTTGGAGGCCAAGATGGCCAAACTTCGTCTCTCATACTTCGGACATGTTGTCAGGAGGGACCAATCACTGGAGAAGGATATCATGTTTGGTAAGGTGGAGGGTCAGAGAAAAAGAGGAAGACCCCCAATGAGATGGATTGGCCAAGTGGCAGCATCGATGGACTCAAGTGTGGCAACAGTAGTGAGGTTGGCCCAGGATCGGGCAGTGTTTCGTTCTGCTGTGCATAAGGTCGCTATGGGTCGGTACCAACTCAATGGCACCTAACAACAACAACAACCATAAGATCAGAGTCCTGGTGTGGTGCTGTGGGCTAATGTGCCAGACTGCAAAGCCCTTTGAACTGCAAAGTCAGCAGTTCAAGCTCACCAGGTGCTCCTCAGAAACTCTCTACAGGGTCACTACAGGGTCGTTATGGCGCTTAACAACAACCACCCATAAGATCAGTGCTCTACATAAAAGCCATCATTATGAGAAAGAAACAAAGAATCACCATCAGGAAACCGTCAGGATTAAGCCATCAGAAAATAAATCTCTGCCTATTAACTATAATCCAATAACATATATGATGGTGTAGCTCTGGACTGCAAGGTCAGTTTGACCACAAGGTCAGCAGTTCAAACCCACCAGTTGCTCCTCAGGAACCCTGTGCAGAGTCTGACCCGACTCTATGGCAATTAACAATAACAAAGACACCAGCAGTTAGAAGACATACCACAGAGGGTGGAACAGACTCCTCTTTCTGCTCCATTCTAAGCATGCCCACACTAATCTCAAGTTTGACACTTGAGTATAGGGTTAATCTTTTACAGAGAAGTCACCATAAACAACTTTACCAACTGCTAAAACTTATAGCTCCCCATGTGAAATTAAATGAGCAGCATTAGGGAGAAAACATTCTTGCCCTAAAACAGTCTATGACAATATCTTAGAAGCTTAATCCATTCTGTAATAATAACAATGATGATTATAAACAGCAAAATTTGGTATTTGCTATGTGTCAGACATTGTATTAAGTCCCTTACTGTATGTATTAGCTCAATTAATCAGTACATGAAATTTACGTGCTAGGAACTATTATTATCCCAGTTTTTACAATCTAGAGAACTGTGTCTTTAAGCATGTAAGTTGTTGCTTCCTGAGGTTTTATGCATAATGAATTGTGAAGCTAGAAGCTGAAAATGAGTCATCTCACTACTAAATTCATACCTTTAACAAAGACTAAATGATACAGCTTTGTGAATTTGGGTCTTGTTGCCTTTAATCCAAGAGCTCTTTATTAAAATACCAAACATTCCCAGGGCAAAACTGAGGTTTTAAAACCTAAAAAATGTTTTACCTCTTTCTGGATTAAGTATACTTTGGGTACCTTCAACTCTGCTTTCTATTCCTTTGCCATCAATTTCAAACGGTAGTTAAATAATTAGCAGCGGTAAAGTTCTGTTAGGAATATTATTTGAAGGGAGACATTTTCACCTACTTTACAATTCTGCTAGAACTACTCTGGAAGCCACATTCTAAGTAGAAGGCATCTTCCAAAGCGCTTAGCCAATTTTCCCTTCTTGAAAGTACTCACCATAACTGTGGATTTATACGGCACATTATAATTTTTAGCAATTTCTATCAGGTATTGTTCCACTAGAATTTGAGGTAGAGTGTCCACATTTAATTTGCACATTAGCTGCAAAATAGAGAACACAATAGATTTGGTTACATAACTACAAAATAAGACCAAAAAGAGTTGAGATGGCCTTTCATGTCTAAATCATTGTTCTTCACTTCTCTCTCTTTGTTATTTAAGTTGTATATATATATATTTTAAAAAAAAAGAATAACTTAGCAATAACAAGGAATGTTCGTGCTTGTCAATGTCCCACAGAGCCTCTCATTGGTACTTCTACCAGAGAACAGGCCTTGCCTGAGGTCTAGAAACCTGAAGCCAAACAGAGTAAGAGGAAGAAAACATACTAGAAAAAAAATGTTTTGAATCATGAATTCTGATTCTGTGACAGGCATTTGAATTATGTCAGGGGAAATAGTCAACATATTTAACAACCAGTACAGAAAGACACGAATCAAGCAGAATGGACAACCTGAAGGACAAGAATTCCACTAGTCTGATACGGTAGCCAGATTTCTGCTCTGATCAGATTTCTGTGTCTCAGTTGAACGTCAACATTACTTGTGTGTGGTCATGATGTAAAACGTTCTAAAGATAAGCCTTCTAAGTTTAACTTCCTTCATGTTACTAGGACATTTGCATTTAGGAAAATATATATTTTCTTTAAAAAGAAATCAGCTCAGTTTGCTTGGCTCTAAATTTCTGATACAACTTTGAGTTCAATTCTTTAGCCTGAGACCTTTATTCAACTTGCTCTGCCTCAAATGCAAAACATATTTCTAAATATCTTTGAGTCTGTACAAAATTATACAGTTTTGAGTTCGCTCAGCTTTTCCAAGCCTCCTGGTATAGAAAAACATGTGTCTCTGGAAATAGCACTACCCGAGAGCTGACAGTTCCAATCTCATTGGTTCGACACAGTTGACCATATTCTTGGCTATACTTTGCACACAGCTGATTAGACACCTGTAGCCAACCATCACCAAAAAAAAGAAAAAAAGGTCAAAATTCATCAAGTTACAGTAATTTTACTCAAGATGAAAAACAATAAAAAGAGCAAAAATCATTTTCAAGTTATTTAATTGGAATTATGTTCTTTAAGCATCAAACCCTCCCTCAACTACTTTGCATTCATTTAAATTTTAAAGCATCTGTAAAATATGAAACTAAAGACTCTAACACCTTATAAATTAAGACACTCCCTCTCCTCAAAAACACACCTCAGTTTCAGTTTTGTTTTGTTTTGTTTTTTGAGGTAAGGTTTATTTCTTTTTCTATCATTGACATAAAAAAATAGAATTTATTTTCATTTAAAAACCAACAAAAGAAAATACCTTTTTGATTATCATTAAGAGAAGAAAGTGTTCTCCAAATTATTCTGTCATCCCAAATGAGTGACACTGTGATAGCCTTACCGACCGCCACGGCTCAGGTGGTTCAAACTACTGCTCAAACTTACTGTTTTCAGTTCAGGCACCTGTGACTGGAGTCGAGGAGCAGCCCAGATCAGTGTAGACACAGACTCAACCAGACCAGAATTCAGTTCCCTAAGGAAAACACAACATGAGGAAACGCAGGGCTTTATGTTTCCCGTTTCTCACCACTTCAAAAATAACCCATAGACAATATTCACACACAGCACAATGTTAAATCATTTGAAAAACCTAAAAAACAAAGTTAGAATGCTGCTGCTATTGCTGCTGGATGCCATCAAGTCAGTTCTGACTCACAGCTACCCCGTATACAGGGTTTCTGAGGCTGTAAATCTTTATAGAAGCAAAAAGCCTCTTCTTTCTTCCATGGAACGGCTGGTGGATTTGAACTGCTGAACTTGCTGTTAGCCGCCTAATGCATACACCATTATACTAACAGGGCTCCCTAGAATCAGAACAGAAATGGATATTTATTTATGCAAGCACACACATGTCCAACGACACACAGATACATACAGCATACACATACAAAGAGGCTTCAAAAAGTTCATGGAAAAATCTCATTTTTTTAAAAAATATTTTATTGTGAATTATGTGATAGTTTACATGGGAGAACATTAGCTTTATATTCATCCTATTGTATATCGTTTCATTGCCATGGTTACAATCCCCTACATGCATCATCAACCAAGCAAAGAGTTTACACTACAAGCCTGTTTCCTGGTCGTCAGCACAGACACCTTCTTCCGCTCTGGATCTAAAGTCCCCAGCCACTCCATCTCTCCACATCATCGCCATTATCTTTTAATACCAATTTTTCCACAAACTTTTTAAAGCCCTCTCATATAGTAAAATCTACAAAACCCAGAATCTGTGTCAAGAGGAAACCTGTCACAGAAGGCAAACTCAAAATATTTTCCGGTAAAAGGGGCAAGAGAAATGTGGTAAGACTACATCCTGCCAAAGATGGAAAATCTGCAAGACCTGGAAAAACAATATAGTCCCATCGGGTTCCAGCTCTCACAGTTTTCACTATAAAACACAGAAAGGGACTATTCAAACATGCTTATCTCCTGATTAGTTATTATGAATGATTATTTTGGTCTCTATTTTCCATCTTTTCTACCACCAATTTATACGATAGTCTTATAATGCAGGGGAGAAAATACACCAGTAGGTTTTTAAAAAAATGTCTCTTTTGTAAACGAAATATATGGAATAGACAAATCTATAGAGAACAGGGGTAATCCAGTGTTGAGTGTGGAAAGAGAAGGGAAACAAGGACTCATTGATTAGGGGACACAGAGCTTTTGGTAAGGGTAATGGAAAACTTTAGAAATGGATAGTGGTGATGGTTGAAAAAATGATAAATGTGATTAATATCACTGAATTATACATGAAAAAATGAGATGGAAAATGTTTTGTTACAGATATACATGGAAGCTTCAAAAGTTCATGGAAGTAAAATCACACATTTATATGAATCAAAAGATTTTACCAAAAGAAAGCCCACAGACTGGGAAAAATTGTTTGCAATGGCATATCAAACAAGGGACTAATCTCTAAAATTTCTAGATAATTACAACAGCTCTACAGGAAAAAGACAAATCACCCAGTTAAGAAACGGGCAGAAGTCATGAACAGACACTTCACCAAAGAAGATATTCAGGTAACCAACAAATATATGAAAAATGTTCCCAATTATTAGCCATTGTTGTTTTTAAGTGCCATCTGAGTCAAGATGCAAATCAAAACAATGAGTTATCATCTCACACCAGCATTAATAGTAAAGTTCAAAAAAACAGAAAACAACAAATGCTGAAGAGAGTGTGAAAAGATTGGCACCCTCCTACACTGCTGGTGGGATTGTAAAATGGTTCAACCACTGTGGAAAGCAGTATGGAGCTTCCTCAGAAAGCTGGAAATAGAAATCTCTTCTAGCCCAGTAATCCCACTACTCAGGATCTCTCCACAAGAAGGAAGAGGCAGGACAATAAGATACATGTACAGTGGAGCCCAAACAAGATGGCAGATCGCGTAGAAGTGCAGTCAGGAGCTCCATCAGCAACAACATAGAATTCTAGACCAAGCAAGCTCAGGAGATAGTGCCAGAACTCTGAACCACATATAAAAGAATACTTAGAAAGTTGGAAGGCTTACAGCCAGTGGAATTTGTAGCAGAAACAAGAAATCCAGTGCTTTCTAATTCAAGGTGCTCAGCTGCTCCCTGTGATGCCATCTTGGGAGAGATAGAATGGCGGAAGGATCAGAGCAGCCATGGATGCCTGACAGAACCACAGAGATAGTGTGGGCATTCTTTTTTTTTTTTTTATCTATTCATTGGTATCTTGCTGTCTGTGGACCTCCAATCTGGTGACTGAAGGGGTGCTTGAGTGAGTGAACACCCCACCCCCAACCCTGGAGGGTTCTATTATGCATGCACACAGATTTCCTCAAAATTTAAATGGACAGTTGCTACGTAAAAATTTTTTTGCACTGTGGCAGTGCAAAACGGCCACAGCCAGCCCTGAACTATTTATTTAAGAAAAAGGCCTGAACAGGGATTGTAGAGTGGGGCAGGCAGACTAAAAAGGAAACAGGCCGAAAATTAAATTCTGAGTTACATCATCATGACCAACAGTGGCATCTTGAAATTTCTCAAGAAGAAGAGTGAAAAGGGAAGCCCATCTCCTGATCACATCTACCCAGAGGCAATCAGAAAGCATAAAAAATACCAAAACACACACCCATCTAAGTATTAAGGCCACAGATAACTCCTGAATATGCCCCCAAAACAGAAAGAGATGACTATATCAGCCCATGTCCAGAAGCGAGATAAAGTGACTGAGGCAAATGAGCTGGAAGTAGACCTACATTCCATACTGGAAGATGGGCAGGCTTTGGAAATGCCTGAGAAGGAAGTCAGAAAAATGATTATAAAATGTATCAAATCACTTTACAATGGAGTTGAGAAAAATAAGGAAGAAGTCAGGAAAGCGCTACAGGAACAATTAAATAAAATAGATACAGCATTGGAAACAATTCAAAATCTACAGAAAGAGGTCCAAATGATTAATAATAGATTATCAAAAATGGACAATCTATTGGGCACACTGAAAGGGCAAAGGAGTAGGATTGAAGAGATGGAAGCCAGAACAAGTGAGCTGGAAGATAAATCTCTCAATACTACAAGATAGAAGAACAAGCAGAAAAAAAGTATAAAAAAATCTGAAGGAGGTCTAATATTCATGTTGGACAACATGAAAAACAATAACTTAATATTCCACTAATAAAAAGGTTTTCATGCTAAAACAAACATTCTTTGATGGTTACCAAAGGTGGGAGAGAATGACAAGTAATTCATTGACTAGAAGGTATTATTGTTAAGTGCCGCTGAGTGGGTTTTAATTCATAGTGACCCTTGTATAGGGTTTCCAAGGAGCAGTTGGTGGGCTTGAACTTCCAATCTTGTGGTTCACAGTCCAGCGTTGATCCTGCAGTACCATCAGTGATGAGGAAGGCATTATACAAGAAGAGGGACACTGGCAGAGGAATGATAAAGACACGTGAAGACACAGGGCTAAAGGGGATAAAGGTAAAAATTGTTTATATACAACCTTGGAACAACAGTGTTCTGTGGGTAGATTCATGGACAGATACACAGCCTGAATGAGTATGGGAGGAAGATTAAGAGTATACCCACAAATATATAAGAGTTTGAAAGAGGATATTTATACATGGGTATTTATCTTTGCTGCAAACATACCTATGAATGTAATGGAGCCTATAGCTCTACTACATGATGAAATCTTCTTAGATATTATCACATATCTAAAGCAATGAGTTGTTAGGCTTGGGGGCTCAGTACCACAGTCTGAGAGGACACCATGGTCAACTGGCATAACATAACCCACAAAAACAATGTTCGACATCCTACTTTGATGAGTAGTGTCTGGGATCTCATGAGTAGCCATTTAAAGTGCAACTATTGGTCTCTCCATGTGCAGAAGAAAAGAGTGATAAAAATAGATGATTCTTGGAGTCAATCAATCAAATGGACCAATGGAACATGTGGATATCAGTCTCTACAACTCTGAGACCAGAACTAGATGGTGCCTATTATCAACTGCTTTGAAAGGGATCATATTAGACGGTCCCAGATACAGAGGGAGAAAATATAGAATAAAACTCAAAATTATATATATTAAAAAAAAACAGACTTACTGGTCTGAAAGAGATTGGAAGAACCCTATACTCTAACCTTTGACCACCTTTCAGATCTGGAAAGAAACTCACCCTTATGGCCCAATTTTTAGCCAAGCAGTAGCTAGGTTAGTATGTAGGGGAAACACCACCACTTGTAAGGTCTCCTCACCATGGAATGGTCAATCATTCAAAATCAAAAGGGAAACATTTACCTAAGGACAAAGTTGAATGTAAAACTGATGATCTTGTCTATAAACCTTCACTCAATTCACAATAAAAAGTTCATGAAAGAGTGGAATTAAAAGACAATGAAAAATTTCCACAAATTTTGAAGTTCCTTTGTATTTACCACAATAAAATATTCTTTTAAAAGGCTCTTTTGCCTGTCATATTCTCTTTGAACAAGGCTAGTTCTCCCTACAAAAATTAGAAACAAAACTCTAAATACGGTTTGTCAACTCCCTTCAGTCTGGGAGATGATGTAATGTCAATAGGTCTCACTTGGTGGCCTGGATCAAGCTAAACCGAGCCAGCAGCAGGTCACAGTACAGCTCCAGGATCTCCATGGCCTCCACAAGGTAGTCTTCCCGGATAATGTGCTCCACCCGGATTCGAGCTCGTTCATCCTTCCCAGCAGCCAGGTAGTCGGCAATCTCCTTCCTTGCTTTCTGGGCCTGCTCAGCTGCAGCACAAAGCACACGTACAGAAAAATGAATGAGCAAAAAAGGTTTTGTTGAATAATAAGGTAGATTGTAGAATAATGTGAAATTTTTTCTTGTTTGAAAGCAAATGAACAGACAAAAATATATACTTAAGATATGTTATCAGTGTGTTAAGAATGGTCAGTGGTCTTCAGATCAGTCATGTCACCACCACCTGGGAACGTGTTGTTGTTAAGTGCCGTTGTTCCAACCCATAGCGACCCTGTATAGGGTTTCCCAGGAGTGGCTGGTGAGCTTGAACCATTAACTTTGTGGTTCAAACAGACTTTAAAGTCCAGCACATTAACCCACAGCGCCACACCAGGGCTCGAGGAACATGTTAGAAACACAAATTATGGCACCTCTTCTGGGCATATTGACTCAGAAACTGTGGGGGTACATCCCAACAATATGGGTTTTAACCAGCCCTCCCAGGGATCGTGATATTAGTGAAATGTGGAGAACCACTGCTGTAGGCGGTAGTTTGGCAGGTGATCTTGATTTTCCCTTTCAAATTGGCCTTAATATCCTAAAATGTTCCAGAGGGAATATTTATCACTTTTCTAATAAAAAGCTTAGTTTATTTAAGGAATAAAGATGTGTGTCATGCCTTTGCATTTAAAAAAAAAAAAAAAGGTATCTTATTCTAGATGACCTCTTAGCATCTATGTGAAGTTAGTGTCTTCATTTCTATTTTATAATAGAGAGAACTGACACTCATAGATGCTAAATAGCTTGTCAGGGTCACATGCTTAGAAGTAAATGCTTGAGTTGGAACTGAAGGCTGAATCTTCAGGCTGCAAATTCCCATGCTTTACCACCACATCATGCCAAAGAATGAACAAGTAGGGCCCTGTTGTAAAGGCACTGAATGTACAGTATCCTAGGAAAATCCAAAGGGACAAGTGATTTCTTACTACCTTGAGTCATCCACTGATAACTGAGCCTGGGGAAACAGTCTTTTCAACAAGTCAGGTAAAACCTCTGAGCCTCCAAATTACATATGCCATACCCCAAAATTAATGCTCATAATCTAACCACGGGTAGACAGCGTCACTTTGTCACTATAAAAAATCACAACGTAAGATTGCATTTGAATCTGAGATAAACAGAGCTTGGTGCTTGGAAGGGTACTTAGCTAAGACCAAATTTTCTTTGCTGTATATATCTCATTGAAAAGTAATCACAGTAGCACTGGACTTGCTTCAGGCAAATGCTCAACTGCTGTTACACCGATACTAACATCAGAAAACATTTTTTTATGTGCCCATAGCATAGTTCATGTTACAACTAGAACTCTGGAATCATAGAAGATTAAGATTATGATCCCTTTTTACAAATAAAGAAATTCAGGTAAGGCATATTTAGCTTGGTTTATCCATCTCAAATCACTCAGGCAAGCCATGCTTAGATTTCTTCATGTGTAAAAAGAGGATAGAATTTTTTTACCTTCTATCGCTGGATTGTCAAGATTAAATAAGTGAACAAGTGTTATGTATGCTATCACAGTTATCCTTACTGTTTATGGCATCAATATGGGTACCACTGGGCTTGTTTAAATTTCATTTGTCTGGGGTACTTTCCTGAAATTCCTGTGAACTAAATAATACCCAAACAACCTCTGCAAGAGTTGGTTAGCCAATCCTTTGATCTTTGTTCCTAATAAAAAGTTACCACGTGAAAAAAAAAAAAAAAAAAAAAAAAAAAGAGTTGGTTAGCCAAAAGCAAAAGAATGCCCCAAATCAATTTTCAAGCCTGAGTAACAATTGTCAGCCTACCAAAAGATGATGGTAATTCAACAAGGACTGCTAACTGAGCACTCAAAGAACTGGTTTTCCATGTGATGTTTTTCCTCCTGACCTCTCCTTATAATCAGAGAGCATCAGTTTTTCAGTTTATTGAGAGGTTGATGGCTCATGTGACCACTGGAATGGGGAAAGAATACAAAAGGCAACAGAAAGTAAAGTTGGACTTAAGATAACACTTGTCAGCTGCTACCCCTCACTCCTGGATATAATGCTATTTGAACTGTGCCCTCAGATAGAAGGGGAAAAAAATTTTTTTTTTTTTTTGCATTTGAAAAAAAGATAAGAAAGCCATTCCAGAAAAAGTTGCCAGGAAGCCCACATTTAATAGCTACTGCACATTTGCTAAGACTTACTAGATATTGTCTGCAACCTCGGTGGAGGAAAAGTGCAGTAATCTTAACCTTATTTTACATTTAGACCTTTGGACTAGTTCTTTTTAAAATAAACTTCTCGTTTTGAGATCACTGTAGATTGGCATGCAGTTGCAAAATAGTACTAATACAGAGGAATTCGGTTTATCCTTTACCCAGCTTTCTTACACTATCACATCCAGGATAATGACATTAATACCATCAAGATACAGAACAGACTCTGAAAATGAAAATGACTTGATTACCACTGCCACGTTTCCCTGAGTCAAAAACAGGACTTTAAATTCTAAAGTTGCTAAGTAAGGTCTTAGGAGATTCAGGGCCTTAGCGATTGCACTGCTCAGAGATCTGACAGGCAGCTTGCTGTGTTGCCTGTAATATTTACTCACTTTTCTTTTTTTCCAGAAGTTTTAGGCGACTGGTAACCAGTTGCAAGTTGACCCGAAGGTGATCAGCTTTGAAGCCAGTGCTGAACATGATCTTACCGCCTAGTCAGTTACTATAGATAAACAGCAACTGGAAAATCACCTTGCTGAGCAAGTTTCCTAGAGAAAGAAGGGTTATCAATGTGTTTTGGGGGAGGAGGGGGGAGTCTCCAATCTTTCCACACATACTTTATTCATTCAACTAACCCCAAGTAAGGAATTCCTCCTGGGTGCTCAGCAATGAGTGCACCTGCTTCTCTGTGGACCAATTCCCTAGATGTGACTCTTGCCCTTCAAATAGAACTAGTGAATAACAACACCAGGAAGGAATGTAGTCCTCCGTACAATCAACCACAGGAGACCAATAGGACAGCATTTTCCCAGAAACAAAGCTCAGAGGGCAGGAAGGGGCAGGACAGAAAGATGAAGTGAAACAGGAGACCCAGGGAAGTACAGGTAGCTCTGCTACCTTGAGGGATTGCCACCAATGCCACCAGATAAATGTGCACAGGCTGTTGGATGGGAAACTACTCTGCTCTGTAGACTTTCACCCAAACTACAATTTAAAAACAAAAAGGGCAAATAAGGGCTAGATTTCAGTAAGCTATTTCTGCAACTTTTGAGAATTCTGCATGAAGTTTCTGACAAAAATGAAAGTCTTCAGCAAGTGTTTGAGAAAGTAGACATAGGAGGGAAATCCCCTTCTCCAAAAGACATATAAGCCACTTCTGGGGGAATTACAACTCTTTCTAAGTCAAATATTAATGATTTTAAAAGGGAAAGGCCCATTGGAGCCTAGAGAGGTCACACAACATAAAATGGAAGGGGGGCCATAGCATTGTTCAGAGAAGTAGATAAAACAGAAACTTGAAAATATTTCCATAATTTCAATGTATGGTTGGGGTTACTTGTTTCTGCTGTTAGCATTCAAAGGTAAAACATCTTTATATGCTGAAGCATATAAGCAGGGACATGTGACAGTCCCTTTAGGATCAGCACCGGACTGTGAACTACAAGGTCAGCAGTTCAAACCCACCAGCTGCTCCTCAGAAACCCTATACAAGGTCGCTATGAGTCAGAACCGACTCAACAGCCCCATTAACAACGTATGACAGTACAAAAAATTCTACTCAATCCTTTTAAGACACACAGAGGTTCCTCTGGTTTTATCCCTTTAATTTAAAACAGAGGGGCGGTGGTTGAGCTTCCTCAGTCTGTAAATTACAGCCCTAGACAAATGAGGAACTGAGCTGGTTTGAAACTCCTGCCCTAACCCGCACAGCAGGGTTTGTGTTTTGTTTTTTACTTCCAACTGAGTAACTCAAGCTCTCCCATCACAAAAATTCAATCTACATCAAACAAAGCAATTCGGTAAGAATTCAGAGGAAAGGAAAAGGTGGACCAAACAGATTCAAGCTTAGCTTTTCAGCTCTAAATACCTTTTGAAACCCCTTTTCACCTGATAAATTCTTAAAACAAGGTGAAAGAAAGAAAAAAAAAAGATTTAGTGAAAGAAAATGAACGACTTTTAGATAAGATTGAAATTATATAGCTAGCAAATGGGGCAAAATAGAGGATAGAAATGAGGAAAGGGGAGGAAAAGAATTAGCAAGGAACTTCTTTCTCCCAGCTTAGAATATTTTTGCAAAGTTTCATTTTACTATTTAAGAAGCCAGTTACAGAGTACAAGACCCTGGGCTTACTATAAGTAACTTAAATACTCATAGAACATTCCAGATTTTTGGAGAAATGACAGAACTTTTTTTTTAAGTTTCATAAAGCTAAAATCTAGATTAGTTAGTTATCCCTAATACTTTTTTCAGACTAGAGCTTCCTACCGTCAAGATGTAGAACCAAAGAATTGTTCGGAGTTAAAAATTCTGTTGTAAGATACAGCGGAAGATACAACCCACTCTTCTGGAACTGCAGCTCCAAACCAGGAAATCACCTGTGCTCCACCAATCAGAACATTCTGGTTTTTAAAACAGACACGCCTTTTCACTACGTCATTGTGCTGTTTTTGTTATTGTTATTAAGTGTTATGTTCTTCCAACTTATAATGATCCTGTATAGGGTTTCAATCTGTATACAGAGCAGTTGGTGGATTTGAACTACTGACCTGGAGGTTAGCAGCCATTGTTTATTTTACAGTGCCATACTAAAAACTTTTTTTTTTTTCTTTCTGTCATCTACCTGTGTTTTCTCTTTCAACTTTGTCCAAAAACCAGCTCTCCAAGTATATATCTTAATCTGGGAGTAAGTGGCTGTCCTTATGTACACCTGGGTGGTTCATGAATATTTGTTTTTGGACTTTTCATGCTAGTTGAATGAGTTAAATAATGAACTACAAACCAGAATGTCAGTTGGCACTAATGCAGATTCACCCAAGTGACCACAAAGCTTCATTCTTGGCTAAACTGAGAGGGGAAACTGTCGTGAATAATAATAATATTCACAAAACAAAACCCTCTGCTGATTTCAGTGGCTACAAAACAACAACCTTACTAAGTTTTACCCATTTCTGTGTGTGTGTGTCGGTGTGTGCGGGTGTTCAGTAATTTAGAAGATCATTTATGCCCATTTTAAGTGAAAATATAAAAATTGAGGTCTAAAGATTTCCTACCAGGAATGTTAAGAGATCATATCCTTTATTTGCATTTTAACTTACTCATTTTTTATTTTCCTGAGGTAATAATACATCTTTTTTAAAAGAAAAAAAATGTTTCTTTTATCTTATTAATAAATATGATTTGTTTATATTTATTTACCTTCCCTCTGTCAAACCCTGAGCCGATTACTTTCCCCAAGCTGTCTGGGAAGGTGCAGGGAAAGGAATATGTAGGGCAGACAAGACATGGACAAAAAAAACTTGGGAAGTGGAGACAACTGCTTCACATGGTGAAGAGGATGAGAAAGGCCACCATCAGACACAAGAGCCCCATGGCCTCAGAGAGGGCAAAGCCCAGAATGGCGTAGGAGAAGAGCTGCTGCTTCAGAGAAGGGTTCCTGGCATAACCACTGATAAGGCTCCCAAACACAGTCCCAATCCCAGCTCCAGAGCCAGCCACTCCAACTGTGGCAGTCCCAGCCCCGATGAACTTGGCTGCTGTCTCAATGTCTCTTGAGATGGTGCTGGTTTGGAAGCTTCAACTAGAAGGAAGCGAGGTCAGGGAACGGAACTTGGGGCTGTGAAGCTGCTGGAGTGTTCATCTGTCAGGGTCTGGGGTTGTTTCAGCACCACTGCAGACAATGGTGGGCTCAGAAACTGAGAGGTGCTCCTGACCAGGGAAGGGGTGCTGAAGAATTTGGTGCAGGTGTACATTTTCAGGAGACGAGTGGCTGTGGCAGCAAAGCTGCTCTGAGTGTAGAGAAGACAGAGCAGGGTGGGAGTGGGGCTTTGTAAAAAAAATTTAACAACAACATAGGCTGATCTTGTGACCATCACCCCATCACACCTTTTTACCCCAAAAGTAGCCAATGTTCGTGGCCACGGAGGACTCGAGAGGAGAGTGGAGCTGCCGGCTGATGGGAAGAGAGGACATAAGCACAGGAGCGCCCACACTTGCAGATGATACCCACGTGACCTGGAC